TCTCCTGGTCCCAGGAGGGCATGTGGCATGCACCAGAGTGGACACAAAGCCCTCACAGCTACCTGGGGCACAGTCCTTGCTCAGTACATGGTGATCACTACAAAAGGTGGGCAACATGAGGCCACAGAGCCCAGTTCATGCAGTCCAGCAGCCCCTTCCTGAGAAGAGCAGTTGGCAAGACCCCTGGGAGACCTGACTCCACCATGAAACACCCCCTCAGCTCTTCACCTGAGGCTTCCTGTGCCCCAGGAGGAAACTGCCATCTTTGGTCTCTAGTGCTTACCATGGGGGTCATTGCATCCACCTACCCATATCCTACTGGGAAAAATCACCCCAGGGACAGAGAGCAGCAGGTGGTTGTCAACCTGCAGGCCTAGGATACTGTTTGGGACATGCCAGACAGAGCTGTACCTCGGGGACCAGGCCAGGGCAAGCCAGGCTCTGCAGAGCCACTGACGCTGAGGCACCACATGCACACAGCCACTTGGTAGAGCTCAGCCATAAAGAGGTATTCATCACAGAACCCAGAAAGAGCCGAGACACTGGTCCCAGCCAGGACGCTGCTCATGACTGGCCTCCAGAAGGCTCACCTTCCCTGGCCTTGGCTTCCCTGGCCTTGGCCTCTCTGGCCTGCATCTCAGGATCTGGTCAGAGACTAGCCACCAGGGACAAGGAACATGAATACTCCTGGCAAGCCAAGAGGAAAGTCAGTACCAGGGGTGGCGGTCTCTCAGAGTGAAGGGGCCTCTGGGGTCCAAACTAACCCTTCCAGAGGCCCATGGGGGCTGAAGGGGCTCCTTCCCCGGCCCCAGAGAAGCTTCCACTCACCTCTGTCCTGAGCTGCACTTGCTCAGCCCCCCACACAGACAGAGGTGGAACTTCCCTGTGGGTACCTCTCTCAAGGGTGGGCACCCCTCTCCCCTGCTGCATGCTGTGCCCAGATGTCTCACACTGGTCAACTCATCCAGCCCCACCTAAGCCTCTACCAATTGTGCCACCTGGGAGCACTGCCAGCCTGAAGACTGCTGGGTCACCCAGCCTGGCCAGAAGGAAGCTGGCAAGAGGAACAGGCCAGTGGCCAGTGGCGCTCTCCCTTGCAGCCAGCCCAGAACCCACAGCCCAGACCGGCCTCCCTAGTCCACCTGCTGCAGGCGAGGCCTCCACAGCTCCTCTGCCAAGTGTCACCGAAGGACACACAGGGAGATGCCTCCTGCGCCCAGCTTTAGGGAGCTTTAGGGATGGAGGAGACAGCAGTGCTGCCTCTTACTGAGGCTGAATATACATGACACAAAATGTATGATGTTGACTTTTTTTTTTTTGCACTGGGGATTGAACCCAGGGGCCCTCAACTACTGAGCCATATCCCCAGCCATTTTTATTTTTTTGAGACAAGGTTTCACTAAGTTGCTTAGGGCCTTGCTAAATTGCTGAGGCTGGACTTGAACTTGCAATCCTTCTGTCTCAAGCCTCTCAAGTCGCTGGGATTACAGGTGTGCGCYATCACTCCCAGCTAGTATTGACTTTTCAAGTGTCCATTCACATTGTCATACAGTCATCTCCACCGTGCTTGTCAACTTTCATCCTCCCAAACAGAAGCTCTGTTCCCCTCAACTGGCTGCCCAGCACCTCCCCAGCCCCTGGTACCCCTCCCCTTCCATTTCCTGTGGCTTGGTGACTCTGGGGAACCTCACATAAGTGGATCCCATGGTCATGTGATGATGTCCTCGAGGCTCAGCCATCCTGCAGTAGGTGCTTGAGGCTGAGGGATCCATGTGGCTGGCCACACACTGCTTACCCATCATCCTCCCTGGTCATGTGGGCTGTGCCACAGAACTCTGATCTACCGAACACTCCTGCTGCGACCACTGTGTACAAACGTCCCTTTGCAACTCCACTTCCACATCTGGCTCTGGATCCTAGGCAAGCCCACAGTTAGTGCTCGCATGCACTGCCACACTGCCAACTGTGCCCAGAAAGTGTGCAGAGTAGGGATGGCCTACACTGCTCCCAAGGCCAGTCCCTTGCTCAGGAACCCCAGCCAGAGAATGGTTTTACCCCATCTCTGGCCCACATCTGCTGTTGGAGGCCCTCAGGCCCCCCCATCTCAGGCACAAACTCTTGGTGCTCCCCCTGCCCTTCCAACCCCCCTGCCCTTCCAACCCTCCTGCCCTCCACCTCCCACTTCGCTCTCCACCTCAGCTTTGCCCCTCACGTCTCTGCAGGAGTCTCTTGAGCCACCTCCCTCCCTCTGGGTGGCTCTGCAGCTGTTGGGGCACCAACTGTCTATACATCCAGCCCATGGTGAGGTATGTATGGATACTAGGCACCAAGGATCCTCAGGCCCTTCCTGCAAAAGTCACACCAAGCCTCAGTACTAGTCCCACCATCCAACCTTCCACTGGACCCTCCTAATCAGGCCCTGCACCCTCTAAGAGTGCCGAGCACTGAATCTGCCCGAGACTTCTCCCCATCTGGACCATTCCCATGCAGGACACCCAGGGCTGTGCTGGGTCCTCAAGTCTGCAGATGAATAACAGGTCCTTTGGGAAAGATAGGTGAGGCTCAGCCACTCCATGGAAAAAGGCAATCTTAAGACACTGTGCTTCTTAATGAACTGAAGCAGGACATCAGAATGACACCATGTAGCAGGGGACCCTTCCCAGGGATCTGGGCTCCTTTAGACTTTCCTTTTAGGGGTGACGGGGATTAAACTAGAGGTGTTCTACCAGAGCTATACTCCTCTTTTCTTTCTTTCTTATTTTGAAGTAGGATCTTGCTAAGTTGCCCAGGCTGGCAACTTGTGATCCCTTAGCCTCAGCCTCCTGAGTCACTGGGATTAGAGGCCTGTGCCACCACACCCAGCACTTCAGAATTCTCTAGGAATCCCTGCTTCTTAAGGGTCTCGTGGCCTAGGGGCAGAAGTCTGATGTGGAGGACATGGTGGCCAGCTGCCCACTCCTGCAGGAGCACACTGCAAAACTGATTTTCAACAGACCCCTTGGAGCCAGTGTGGGATCCTACAACCCTAGCCCCTCTTATTCTGCCCCATGATAAACATCTCTCAGCCTCTAACTTCTTCTTAAGTCTAAATGTGCAGAACCCAAACCAGATGTGCCTGCCTCATGTTCTGAGAATACCACCATCAGAAATGTGTCTCTGTAGACGTAAGTACTTCGTAATGAAACACACAGTTTCTTAAATGAGCCACCACACTGTAACCGTACTATGGGCCCAGTGTGGAATCTGGGAAAGTGAACTATGGGAGAAAAACCCATAACCAGGCTCCGGGGGCCAAATGGGCCACAGTGGCAACAGGCCAGGTCCCTGCAGTCTGTGGCACCCAGGTGTCCTGGCCCTTCCTGCCTCCATCCACCGGCTCTGTGAGCGTTTCCACTGCCACCATGGCTGCCAGTCCCAGAACTGGGGAGTCCTCCCTGGAGCTCCTGTATGCCCCCAGCAGCTGAGACAGAGCCCCGGGCCTGCACAGGCAAGAACCACCCATTTCACAGGCCCCAAAGGACAAAGGCAGAGGAGGAGCTCCAAATGATACAGGTGGATATTATTTAATGGTAAGTGTATGCCAGATCATCTGTGCAGGCACAGGCATCTGGGTCCCCAGGCCCATGCCCACACTCACCATCAACAGCCACACCTCAAGAGCCAGTCATCCTGTCCCAACTGGTTGAGAGGTCACCTGGCTACGTGTTCTTCCTCTCTGCGTCACCATGACCCCAATAAGCAGGATCAAACAGCATCATCACTGGTCACTGAACTCAACTCCCAGTTCAAGTCGAAGTGCAAAATGCTGCCCTGCACAGTCTGCCCACCCCCACATTAGCCTCCTGAAATGCACCCTGGCCCTCAACAAGGCCTGCAGGACACAGATGTCCACACCAGGCTAGGAAGAGGCTGTACCACGTGCAGGCACCAGGATGACGCCCTGCATACCCCTAGCAACTAAGGCAGGCATGTAGACCTCACACATGAGGACAGCAGGATTATATCCCTAAGCCCAAGCCACTGGTAGCCACTAGCTGCCATGGCGACTCTTCCCAGAACTCCACAGTGTATTAAAGCCCCACCCAGATTAAAACACAGATCCACAATCCCCAGAGGTTGGGATAAGGGAAAAAATACATGTCCCATGGCCCCAGACCTCTGAGGGGGCCCAAAGAGTAGACTGGGAATGCACCAACCAAGTAAGAAGCCACACAAGACCAGTCGGGACCAGCACCCCGGAGGATGCCACAACAACTTCTCAGGGCAGGTCACCATATGGGTGGGCATCAGCTCAGCCACATGTCTATCTCATGGCGTTATGTCCTTGTAGGAAAATGGCCCCAACACAGATCCTGGGGAAAACACACAGCCGACAGCCCCCACACTGGGTCCCACAGACTTCTCAATCACGACTAACCCACAGGAGAACATTCTCTTCCAGCCCCAACATCCACTAAAGGGTGTGACTGGCATGGGAGGACTTGAGGTGGGCCAAACCCCGCTGGCACGGGGCTGGTGGCAGGGTAAGGAAGAGACGATTTCAGATCAGCGAATAGGAACAGGTTCTTAAAGCATCCTGACTCAGCTGCATTGGAGCAGGAGCTCAGGTGAGGCTCCTACCCGGTGCCTACCCAGGCCTTGGCAGAGCAATTGTGGAGGGAAGTTTGAAACCCAGCTGAGAATGAGCAGCTGTGAGCAGCAACGAGCCAAGTTTAGAGAAAGGGAAACTCGGGTCCTTGTTTTAAAACACAGATGGTATTTAAGAAAAAGAAGGAACGACAGACAGCTGGCAACACAGGTGGCCATGGTCCCTGGTTCCACCAACTAGCCCACCATGTCATAGTCCCCAGATCTGCCAAGAAAATGTGTCTACAAGGGCCCCAGGGAACCCCAGGCACCGACAACTGCCTCAGGTGCAGGCAGTACCCACACTGAGCGTTGAGAAGGCAGACATCCAGACAACATGCAGCGCCGCTGAGGGCACTGCAGGAGCCAGGGCAGAAAATAGGAAAGAGCTTTATTTATTAAAGGAGCCATCTGAGAGTCACTCTGGAGGGTCAGCCCACGGGAAAGCACTGGACTGCAGCATGCCTTCTTTCAGATGACCTGCGGACCCCACAACACTCGCCAGGGGGCGCCTTTCAGAGCCACTGCGGCACTCTGGAGAGAAGGCGATCGCTCCGCTTCCACTTCCTGCGAACACCTGTCAGGAGCTAAGAACGCAGCTTMCCGTCCAGGAGTCCATAGGCAGTAAGGTCAGGGAGGAAAAGCAGCTGTGGCCCGAGCAATCCAGGCCTGGTGCTGAAGGCGGCTTCTGGGCAAGGGCCCCTGCCCTCCTGCTCCATGCCTGGGGAGGCTGCTACAGCCAGACAGCCAAGAGGTGCAACGCCACCTACGTGCGGTTCAGCGTCTGGAAGATTCTTGAAATCTGCAGCATGACTGGGCCGGTTTCTGGGTCATTCATCCACTGGGTGCTGTTCAGTGGGTTCTCCAGCATGTCTTCAAATGCTGTGGACATACAGTGAGTGAGGCTGAGTACCAGCACCCAGAAACCAACAAGCACAGGGGCGACTCTCCTCTCGATGCATAAAAGAGGAAAGGGTCACTCAAAACTTCTGCCAAAAGCCAGGAGGGGTGGTGCACACCTGTGATCCCAGTGGCTCTGGAGGCTGAGACAGGAGGGTCCCAAATTCAAGGCCACCCTGAGCAACTTAGCAACAACTTAGGGAGACCCTGTCTCAAAAAAATTAAAAAAGGCTGGGGATGTGCTTCAGTGGTTAAGGGCTCCTGAGTTCAGTCCCCAGAACCAAAAACAAACAAACAACAACAAAAAAAACAACACTTCACTGCTGATGCTAAGTCCCAGCCTAAAATCCCCTAGACAATACCCAACAGTGCCCCAAACAGCAGATCTGAGAACAGAGGCTGCTATTCCATCTGGCAGGGCGCAGCTCGCCTCTGTGTTCAAGCACCTGACTCTGGACAGTCACCTGGCAGCAACTACCAGGACCCCAAAACTCACCTCAACCTGCAATCCCACACTGAGAAAATAATGCAGGCACAACCAACACACAAAGGGCCTGCTGCAAATTTAATATCACTGAGTTGAAAAGTCTAACTTTCAATCTTAGGAAAAAACAGCACATCAGGGCTGGGGCTGTAGCTTACGGGTAGAGTGCTTGCCTAGTAGTATGAGGCACTGGGTTCTATCCTTGGCACCACATAAAAATAAACAGATAAAACACACACACATTAAAAAAAAAAAAAAAAAGCACATCAAAAAGGTAATGGAAGAGCTGGGCTGTGGGGGGGTGGTGAGCACTCACACAGCATGTGGAAGACCTCGAGTGCAGCCCAAACAGATAAGGACAAATTGTAATGCAGCACTTCTTCAAAATCAAAACTCTTGACTTTCTCAACAGTTTTATAAAATCGTTCCCAAATCCAGGTCCGCTTTATGGCAAAAAGCCCAATGTCCCAGCCATACTGGAGGACAGCCATCCCAACTCCGCCAGCATCAGACGGCCTATGCCAGGCCTAGCCACCTCAGCAAAGATGACCCACGCCCATGTCCAAGGCTCCAGCGAAAGCACCAAGCAGGAGTCTGGAGCACTCAGACCAGAAGTGGTTCAGATTCAAGGTTGTCAGCTTTATTTATTTATATACAATTTTTTTTTTTTTTGGATAGTACAGATTGAACCCAGGGGAGCTTTGCCACTAAGCCATACCCTTAGTCCTAAACTGGCCTTGAACCTGAGATCCTCCTGCCTCAGTCTCCTTTGCTGGGATTACAGGCATGGATACCACCATACCTGGCTTGGGTTTGGAGTATCTGCAGAGGTTTCACCAGACAATCATCCTTAATGCTCCAAAATCTGCGTCAAGTAGGACCCTGGCCAGGCTCAGAGCACAGAGTGGATCTGACTGTTCTAAGAATGACACAACCACCTCCCAGCCCCAGCCACCTGCTGATGTGCCTAATACCTCTGCAAACCAGGGAAAACCTCAGGCTGCAGAAAGGCACGTGGGGCTGTGAGAACACAGGGCGAGGCGAGCGTGGCATCTGACAAAGGAAGCAAGGACTGGGAACCCCACTTCCCAGCCCCCTGCTTCAGAAAAATAGGGAACCCCACTACCCCCTGCCTCCCCGCTATAGAATAGGGAACCCCACTTCCCCCTGCCTCCCCGCTACAGAATAAGGAACCCCACTTCCCCCTGCCTCCCCACTACAGAAAAACAAGCTCCAGAAGAACCAAGGTACTGAGCAGAAGTGTAGTCACACAGGAGAAGCCAACTGACGGGGTTCACCTGAGGACTCCTGAAGGCCCTGCGAGCCTCACCCACTCCAGGTGAGGGGAAGGAAGGGTGCACTTGCACTCCGAGATGAGCGCCCAACTGAAAGGACACTGCACGTGATGGAGAAAAAGGAAAGGCCTCTGGGCAGTCCCCCAGTTTCCTAAGGGTCACAAACAGCAGGAGAGGTGGTGAGCCAGGTTCGGTGTGAAAGGGCACTGAGGGTGAAACGCACTCACTAAAGACAGCCGCACACTGGCACATCACTCACAGGACTGGCCCAGAGAGGGGGAGCGCAGAGCTCTGGGATGCAGCAGGGGCTGGAGAGTGCCTTTCTCAACTTTTCTCTCAGAGGGTTTTGACAGAAACGAAACAGGTTCTGGTTTGTCACAACATGAGCCCTGCACTCGCCAGCTGGTGAGAAGAAGCCAAAACCAACACAGGAAACTGGGCCAGGCACAGTGGCCATGCCTCTAATTCCAGGGAGGCTGAGGCAAGAGGATCGCAGGTTCAAACCAACCTCAGCAACTCAGGCCTGAACTGCCTAAAAAAATAAAAAAGGGATGGGATGTGGCTCAGTGGTTAAAATGCCTCTGGACTCAATTCCTGGTACCAAAAAAAAAAAAAAAAAAAATCCAAGAAGCAAGTAACTGGTACAGGGCCAGCATGTGGACCCGGGCTTTCTACGTCAGTGTGGGGAGAAAACAATCCCACAGGAAAAGGGGCCAAACAAGCCGAGACCCTGCAGCTAAACCCTGCTAGAGGAGCTCCACCTCAAGCCAGGGAGCGGCAGGACAGGCTGCGGCCTCCAGGGAGCCCCAGGGCCCTCAGGCACAGGGACAAGAGGGCTCAGAGCAGCATGGTGTACAGAAAGCAACCCAGTACATCTCTGTTTTTAACAGTGGCAGAGATGGTAGAAGAGGGAACCGCCACTGGGCGACACACCTGGCCATAAGAGGATGCAGCAGCAGGTCACCCAGGCACCTCAACAAGCTCACCACAGAAAGCAGGAAGAGCTGCTGGACTGCTAGAGACATGCCTGGCAAGACTCTGAGGCACAGGACAGTGAGGCATGGTGTCCAGCGGCTCAGGGGGACTGCAATGCCTAGGCCTCCAATCCAGGGGCCAAGCATCCATGGATCAAGCAGATGAGGGTCAAAAATACTTGAGGAAAAAGAACTGTGTATTAAAATGCCCAGGCTTTCTTCCTCGTCTTTATTCCCTAAACACAACCGTTTACGTAGCATGGCATCTCACAAGGGCTTGCATGTAAGCCAGAGACCAAACTGTGTGGGAACACATCCGCAGGTCACGTGCCATTGTGTGTAAGGAACTTGAGCACCTGTGGACTTTGCAGTCTGTGAGGGTCCTGGGACTAATCCCCAGGGAGGCCTGCACTGTTTTTAAGCTGAAGGGCAGATATGTGGCTATCAGACTTATTTTTATTTGGCACTGGGGATTGAAGCCGGGCACTTAACCACTGAGCTACATTCCCAATCCTTTTTATTTTTTGAGACTGGGTCTTGCTAAGTTGCTGAGGCTGGTCTCAAACTTGCAATCTTCCTATCTCAGCCTTCTGAGTCCCTAGGATTACAGGTGTATGACACTGTGCCCAGCTGGATTTATTATTCTTTAAATTTATAAACACACTGCTGGGTATGGTAGCGCATACCTAAAATCCCGGCAGCTCAGGAGGCTGAGGCAGGAAGATCCTAAGTTCAAAGTCAGCCTCAGCAAAAGCAAGGCACTAAACAACTCAGTTAGACCTTGTCTCTAAATAAAATGCAAAATAAGGCTGGGGATGTGGCTCAGTAGTGAGTGCCCCTGAGTTCAATCCCCAGTACCACCCCCCCAAAAAATTATAAACACATACACTTTCGCACATATCTACATATCACAATAGAAACAAATTAACAAAGTTGTCCCTTGTAAATAAAAAGCAAAAGTCAAAACCACACTTTCTCCTCATGTCTGTCCCTACTGAAGCCACTGCCCACCCAGGCTCACCCTTGCAGGAGCCGGTCCCACCCTCAAGAGCCTGACTCCCAGCTCTCCAGTGACTAGGCAGCAGGCGCCGAGTGTGGGAGACACACGTACCGAGCAACGTTTTGGGGTTGGTAAGCCCCAGCTGCACCACCGGGTTGTCCAGAATAGCCTGAAAGAGAGGGCTGTTGGGGTCGATGCCCTGGTCCAGCTCCTCAGGGGATGGCTTGCGGTCCCCCAGCAGCCACTCGCACTGCAAACCCAAAACAGCAAAGTAGCCGTTAGCTCCTCGAATACCTTCAACATGGAGTGAAGCGGCTGGCGGCCCTGCCCTTCTGTGCGTGCCTGCTGACTCCTGCAGCTGTTCTGGCCATAAGGAGCCCTAGAGCCAATGAACCCAGCACACATGCAGGGTTCGCACACCAGGCAACTCAGAGAGAGAAGGAAGGACCCAGCCTGGCTTTCTTAGTGGTCTGACCACCCACCCACAGGCCCCCGGCCACTGAACATGGGTGCTAACAGAGCCCCCAACAACCTACTTTGTTCTAGGGAAGGACCAGCCTGACTGCACTTCTCCATAGCCAACAAGCCTGCGAGTGTGGACACACAGACTCCTCACCTCTGTCTTGGCGGTCTTTACCTCAACTCTGTCCCCAAGTCACCACTGAGGTCACCTGGGGCAGAGCTCCCCTCAGCAGTCCACGAGGGGAAATCAATGTTAAGAGTCTGTTTAACAGATAAACTAACAAGCTGCACGCTTCTCTGCAGAGCATGATCACAAGAGCACCGTTCTCAGAAAGCCAAGGCCCAGAATGTTCTCAGTATTTTAAAAACGTGTAACACCTGAACCGTCCCCACTAACGTTTCACGTAAAAAGCTGTGTAACTGACCACGCGTGGGAGCCACAGTGCACAGCACAGGGCCGAAGGGCAAGGGGCACCGCGGTGCAGGCACRGCACAGGCGCCTGCCGGTACTCACGGCGGCATTCTGCTGGTTGTTGCTCACTCTGAGGGCGTCCACCACCTCCTTCTCATCAAAGCCCATCTCCATCAGGGAAACGACAGCCTGCAGGGAACCACACAGCCGGTCACGCCCCGCCCAGGCTGAGCAGCCCGTGAGGGAGCCAGCCCCTCAGCAGGGCCTCCTGAACACACTAGGACCTTCTGCCCAGTGCTCCTACGCACAGCTTCACTGGAGAACACGCGGGCTCTGGGCAGCTTCGCCCAAGAGCTGCCAGACGTGATGCAGTGAGCAGGGCCCAGGAGGTGTTGAGGGAAGCCAGCTGGGGTGAGGAGAAGTGGCCAGGCCTCCAGAGGGCACTCACATGGACCCAAGGCAGGCCAGCCAGCATCAAATGTTTTAGGTTTGTCCCAGTGAGTGTGTGGCTCAGGCCATTCTCAGCAACCTTCAGGGAGCTCACGCCAGAGGCTTTGCTATCCCACAAGTAGCCTCAGAGAAAGGTCAAGTTCATAAATCCAACTTAAATGGAGACAGAAGGGTCATAGTATTTTGTTACAAAGGGGGCCTTAGCCAGGTACGGTGGTGCACACCTGTGATTTCAGGTACTCAGGAGACTGAGTCAGGAGGTTCACAAATTCAAAGCCTGCCTCAGCAACTTGGCAAGAGCCTGTCTCAAAATAAAAAATAAAAAGGGCTGGGGATATGGCTCTGTGGTTGAGCACTCCTGAGTTCAATCTCCACTACCAAAACCAAAAAGGGAGGGAGGGCTCTATTCAGAATATCTTAGGGAAAAAAGAAACTAAAAATTAATCTTACATCTAATACAAACTCAGGCTCTTAAGTGTAAACATTCTTGGTGTGAACAAGGACTTAATCTTCAGTGTTTGGGGAGGGTGATTTTCCACACGATATCCGTGTGACAAGATAATAAACATGAAACGCAGTGTTTGAAGGGTCAATTTTGCAAAAGACAAAAAGGTTGCATTGAGTTTTCAAGGGTCTCTCTTGATCCTCTGAAGGTCATGTCCCAAGTCTCATAGCCCCAGGCCCCTCTTGCTCAGGTTCTCACGGTGTTAAGCAGCCCCCACAGCATTCCCAATGCCATGACACGCTGCCCCAGGGAAGTGCTGTCCACTCACAGTCCAGTTTGCACAGAGTTTCAAGGGGACCAACAGAAGAGGACTTCAGAGGAGAGGAGAAGCATGAAGGATGCTGGCTGGAGCCAGGTGGTGTGTGGTTGGCTCAGAAGCTCCCCCGTTCTGTTCATGGTCTACCTCGTGTGCTTTCCTGGACCCTTCCTGACTCTGAGGTCTAAAAGCAAATGCTGGGAGAAGCACTCACTGAACAGCATTTGGATGTCAAAGTCACAAGACATGGGGCTGAGGTGGCTCAGGGGCCAAGCACATGCCACACATCTCCAGCAGATGGCCTGCAGTCTAGAGCTAAATTCAAGCACAGTATGGACCTTTTCTTTTAGTGTCAATAAAATCCATTTTCCCTCTTTACGTCCATCTTAGCCCATGAAATGATGCCCCAGTACTTCCAAATGACACTTGGTAGCTTTCTGCCCTTCAGCCCAGTCCAAAGGGAAGGACTTTCCCATGGCGGCAGCAGGACAGAGTCCTCATGCTCGCGCCTCTGAGGACCCTGCACCTCCTGCAGTGGTTGTCTCAGCCCAGCTGGGAGGGAAGCAAGCAGCACAGGCCACTGTGTGTGACCAACACCTGAGCCCTGTCAGACTCCTGGGGCAGGAACCAGAGGGCAGGAGACAGGCTGGCAAGCTGCACTGGAGCTGCAGCCTTCACAGTGCCACACAAGAAGGCCTTCTGAGAAGGGTTTCAGCATAAGAGGTGAAGGGCAGGAATGGCAGGAGAAGAGCATCTGAGCAAATGAGCACCCTCAACTACGGAGACCTGCGTCTTAGAAAAGGTTGAGACAAGAAGGAACATGCACTGACCAGCAGCAACCACACAAGGACCAGGCAGGACCCAGACGAGGGGAAGCACACACCCACTGCCCACAGAGGCCAAGGACCAACCCAAAAGCTACACTGTGTCCCCAAAGGGTCCCAGCATGGGAAATGGACCTGACTCCCTGGAGGCCTACAATCAGGAGACAAACGCTCTGCTAATATGAGGAATGCCATCAAGAAACAAAAGAGGGGGCTGAGGTTGTGGCTCAGCAGTAGAGTGCTTGTCTAGCACGTGCAAGGCCCTGGGTTCGATCCTCAGCACCACATAAAAATCAATAAACACAATAAAGGTCTAAAAATATATATATTAAAAAAAAAAAAAAAGAAACAAAAGAGTTAAATGCACAAACTCTCAAGACAGGGAATCCCCAAGAGACAGAGACAGAATGGAAAGCCTAACAGTGAGAGGGCACGTGAGGCAGGGCTGCCCTGGGGGACAGGATGCACCATCAGGCAGAAAGCAGACAGACCTGGGCCCACCGCAGGTGGAGTGGGCACTGAGACCCTGGCTCAGCCAGGAAGGAGAGGCGGACATCCTGGTCTCTGCAGGACTACATTGAGAAGTCAGTATGTGGCCATGGTCCCACCAGGACTGAAGATCTAAGGGTTGGCTCCTAGTTGGGGTCCTGCTCAGAATCATCCTGCCTGGACATCTGAGACCTGGCCACATATGGTTCCAATGGAACAAACAATCCCACTGGTGAGATCCTGAAGGAACAATCTATACACCACATGCAAAAACATGGAGCCAGGTGCGGTGGTTTTGCCTGTGAGCCCAACAGCTTGGGAGGCAGGAGGGTTGCAAACTTGAGGCCAGCCTCAACAATTTAACAAGACCCTACCTAAAATAAAAAATAGGAGACAAAAAGTACAGAAAACACAGCACAGTGTTAGAGCATCTCTGGGTTCTATTCCCAGTACCATTAATGATGACAACCTCAAAAAAACAGAATGAGAACGCAGATACACAAGCCTATGATCTGACAGGAAGCACAGGGCCAAGGAAGAATCAAGACCCTAATCAAAGAGGAGGCCAGGGGGCACAGAATAGGGAGGCATCAAGCACAAGGCAGCAGGGAGCCAGTCCACACACTGTACCCATGGCCATGCAGGGCCAGGTGTTCCAGACCCTCAGTCCCTGCTCAGAGGCCTGCCAGCCCACATGATGCCCCAGTTCTCTGGGCACTACCACGCAGCCCTGTCATGTGGCCACAGCAGCAGGAGAGGCTGGCTGACACCTGTGACTGGACAGGAACTTCCACACCACCTTCTCAGGAGAGACCCCATGTCAACTGGCCACTGAGAGGAAAGAGGTCACCTGGACCCCAAGAAGACAACATAGAGTGACCTTCGGGAGGCCCTCCAGATTTCCACAGCCTCCTCACAGCTGTAGCAAGAGGCCAAATCACCCGGCACTCACAAAACGTACCCGAGCATCGGCCCGGAATTCCCTTTTCCTGCGAATCTTCTTGAAGATATCCGTGAGCTCGTCCCGGACCTCCTCGTCTCCCTCGCTAGTCCCAGCAGCAGCTTCTGGAGTGGCGGCCGCAGCACTTGCTGCTGCTGGTGAGGACTGGCCTGGAAGAGGCGCATCGATGGCCGGGTCCTCGGCGTGCTCTATCAGCCACTCCATGGCTTGAGGCACCGACATGCTGAGAGGGGACAAGACACTCTATTCAACTCTCCCAGGCCAGTAACAGGGCTCCCATCCCACGTGCACCAAAGAAGGGACACTACTGTTCAGGCAACTTCACCAGCAGCAGCAGGTGGCCCCTTGGGACAGGAACCCTTCACACAGCCCTTGCCTCAATCACCAAGGCTCTTGCCAAGAGCACCAAACACCCAGGGTGTATGAGTCCAGGTGCATAATACAGGACACGGCCTCTGACCACCCCCCATGAAGACTTTGTGTCAAGCAGCTAAAAGCACTAATCTCAAGAAGTACTAAATAGAGCCCCGGTCCCTGCTGGGAGGAGGCTCGATGCTGAGCTCTCATAACAAGGGCACGGTGAGCACCAACAGGTCCACCAKTTGGCTTACATTTCCCCCAAAGGAGGAGAGAATTTAAAACTCATGATAGCCATGTGCAGTGGTGCACAGACCTGCAGTCCCAGCTACTCAGGAGGCTGAGGAAGGAAGACACTGGAGCCCAGGAGTTCAAGGACAGCCTGGGCAACGCAGCAAGACGGGGGCTCAGAACAACACAACACCACTTTGAACTAAGCACAATGGTGCACACCTGTAACCCCAAGTATTTATGAGGTGAGGCAGGAGGACTGCTAGTCAAGGCCAGCCTGGGCAATGTAAGAACCTGACTCATAAAGGGATAAAAAGGGCTGGGGCTGGGGCCCAGTGGTGTGGCACTTKCCTAGCACATGTGAAGCCTTGGGTTCCATCTCAGCACCACACAGAAAAATAAATAAAAAATAAAGTTATTATGTCCAACTACAACTAAAAATATTTTTTTAAAAAAGGGCTGGGGATGGAGCTCAGTATAGAGTACTCCTGAGTTCAATCCCCACTACTTAAAAAAACAAAACAAAATACACTTCAAGGTGATGAATAGGCACACATATAGGGTCCCCTTTAAAAACACACATGTATTGGGAATGACTCAATGAGCGAAGCATGTGCCTGACTGGCAGAGAGGATGGGACCCCAGCAGGCCCACGAGACCATGCCCCAGCATCTCAGGAAGGAGAGGGCCTGACGTACTGGTTCAGCCGAAGGGCCTTTGCAGCCCTGCTCTCAGGAAAGCCCATCTCTGTGAGCTGCCGCAGGGCGGCCTCATCCACTCGCTCGTCCTCATCCTCGTCCAACATGGCTGTGGGAAGAGAGGAGACCAGCCACGTCAGGGGGCATTCTCAGGGCCCCCAAGTTTGTCAGGCACATCTGCAACACCAAGCGCTTCTAGCACGTTCTGAAACCTCAGGGAACCCAAGCTCTAGCACCAGCTCTCGTCCTATGTGCAAGGAACAGGGTATCAACAGGCTGCCGGCCCACACCAGCGAAGGCAGGCACAGCTGCTGACCTCTCCAGCTTCATGCCAAGGGCTGCGGCATGTTCTCTGAGACAGAGGGTAGACGGGTGGGAACGAGAGTCATGCAATCAGTCTGGGTTCTGCTCATACCATTTGCCTTCTTAAACAATTCAACTGCGTCAGGGTTCAGTGCTAACAACTTCTGTGCCACCTCGATGAGAGACACCAAGATTTTCCGRAGCTCTGTCTGGAACTGCAGTGGGGAAAAAAAATCACTTCTCTGACATCAACAAGCCTATGTCACCTACAGCCCCACCTGCTCTAATATGCCAATTCCAAGTCCAAACCAGGCTGCCTGAGAGGGGAGGGTTGGGCTTGGAGCCACACCTCCTCAGGAGGCCCCCTCAGGAAGGAAGGGCTTTGTGCACATGGACAGGGCAGGGCTCAAGGCCAGCACACATACATCTGGTACCAAACCCCGAAAGCAAAGTGTCCGCTCAGCCTATGGCCAGTGAGGAAAGCACTTGTTGGCCAGGGTTAGCAGCTATGCTGAGGAGAGAATATTCTGATGGCTCCACCTGTCCGACTGGCTGGCCACAGCCTAACAACAAGGGGGCTGGCACGGTGCCCTCAGAGACTCTGCACACCAGCTCTAGCCAGGGCAGGCCTGGGGGTCAGATCAACAGCTCCTCCCACACAAGCCCAGGCCTTTGAGAGTCCCAGGCTGGACACACAGAGGCAGGGGTAGGACACCCACCCGCTGCTGTGGAAGGGTTCTGGGCAACACAGAACTCTCTAGAAGAGACCCCAGGAGAGGTGTTCCTAAAACAAAGCAGACAAGTTCTCAAAGTACCCAGGTCAGAGCTGATGGCATGAGGTCAAAGGCTGGCCACCGTCCCCCCTGCTGACATGTGAGCATGCCCTCAGCCTGCACCATCCACTCTAGCATGGCAAACACATTGTCTTTTAACTTAGAACTTTCCAGTCCAAAGTAACTTAAGCACTCTCAGAAAAGACGTGACGCTCCCCAGGGTTTACATCTTTTCAGCCCCGCCCCCAGGTATCTTTAAACTTCTGGTTTTGAAATAATCTGAGACGATGGGAAAGCTACAAAAGTAATAAAGATTTCCCAAATTCCCTTCCTGGCTTCCCCAAACATTTGTTTTTTTTCTCTATTGAGACAGGGCTTTCCTAGATTGCCCAAGCTGACCCCCAGACCTTGCAATCCTACTGCCTCAGCCTCCAGAAATACTGGGACTGCACACAGCGCCAGCCCTAGGCACTTCTGGGGAACCTCTCACAGACCCCAGGTGCACAGTACAGACCCCCACCCACTGTGGGACAGCACTCACATCCCTCATGGTGGTCTGGACTGCGGCCCGGTCCATGCTACAGGCGGGCAGGTTGGCTGTGGCCCGAAGTATGGCGTCTCTGTCTGGAGCCTTCTGTTCTTGTTTCTTCTGTACAGAAAGTGAGGCGAGTCACAGGTGGGCACAGGAGCATAAAGGCATCAAGCTCAACAGCAGGCCTATCTGCCCAAGCCACAGCCATACACCCTGGCAAGCTGAGGTTCTGGAGTCCTGTGCGCAACCCAAGGATGGAGTGCAGGTGTGACTCAGGAACACCAGGCCTCTATGGCGCAGCAGTGCCATAGAGCAGCCACCCCCCAGCTGCAGCGGGCAGGGCACAAGAACTTCAGAGGAGCCTGAAGGACAGAGCAGCCTCCCAGAGCCTCCCTGGTAAGTGTGAAGAACGTGGAGGCAGAAACAGAACACAGGGTGAAGCCAACAAGCCTGGGAGAGACAGCAACGGAGAGACCCAAGGCAGAACCCTGGGAACAAGGCCACGCCACCCTCCCCCAATCCCCCAGGCAGGTGCCAGAGGGCACCAGCTCTGGAGCCACAGGGGGCGCTCCTCCAGCACTCAGCTCAGCAAGCTGCTCCCTGAAGAAAGCTACCCTGAGAGCTGCGACAGGACTCAAGGACAGCAACCCAGAAGGGAGGGAGCAGCACCCACCTGCGCCCCGTCAGGAGACCCAGCCCTGGCACTACTCACATCAGTGACCCAGCAGGACAGGCAGAGCTGTGGGCTGAAGCAGGCAAGATGGCTGGGCTCGCACCCCACAGTCAGCCTCATAGGCACGGACACCAACAGGCTTCCAGGGCCTCTCAGAGGCAAGAGACAGGCAAGAATAGCTGGGCAGGTGCAGGGAGAGCATCCAAGATAAATCACAAAAGCCAAAATAAGAACAGGAAAGGTACAAGACAGCAAAGAGGGGATGTGGGCACCAGCGGCCAGTAGTCACGCTCCTCTGTGGGCACCAGGGCACCCCAACAGGAGCTGCACAGCCAGACAGAAGGCTCTATGGGATGGAAGACAAGGGAAGGGGATCATGCAGGAAGCAGGCCCACCAGCCAACAAGCCAGAGCAGCAGACAAAGCGAAGACAAAAATCAGCAAAAGGGACCCAGCACTTGATGCCTGGAACTCAAACATCAGTCTCCAGAGTCGAGTGCCAGGCACAGTGAAGGACACAGCTACCTCAGAACACCTGTGACGCCCCAACACCAGCAGCACCCAGAGGGCCCAAGAGGTGCCACATGGAGCAGGGAGAAGCCAGATCACACAGGGTGGAATGTGCTCTGCTGGTGCTAAATCTATGCCAGGACACGGGAACACAAAGCCTAAAGAATGACCTCCCTTCCCAGACACCAGAGGAAGCCAGGCTCCAGCAGACCAGGGAAGCAAGTGACACACTCCACTCCACTCCACTTCCACTCCACTCCACAGCAGGCAGAAGTGCACTGGCCCCAAGCTCCCTCCCAGGTCGCCTCTGCATGGCTGCAGGGCACTGGCATGGAAGATCCCACTGTGGGTTTGGGTTTCAGCCCAAGAATAGCCAACTTTAGGAAAAGCACATGATCTAAGGTGACCCTGGTCTAAACAGAAGGGCCCTTATGAAGCACAGGGTTCCTCTAGTAAGAGGGATTCAACCCCTAAAAAACTCTGTTGCAGGTTGTGAAGATGGAGGGCCACCACCCAAGGAATGAAGTCTGCCTCCAGGAGCTGAAGGCTGCCCCTCCCATGCCAGTGAGAAAATGGGGCCTCAGCCCTATGACTGCAGGGACCATAAGAGCCTGAGAGCAATGCACTCCCCAGAGCCCCTAGAAAGGAACCAGCACTCTGACACCTTGATTCCAACTCCAAAGACTCTGAGTGCAGAAATCAGCAGAGCCTTCTGACCAAACGAACCACGAGCAAGAAATGAGTGTTGTTTTAAGAAGGTAAGTCTGTGGCTATTTGTTAGGTGGCAATAGGAACCTGCATACAATTCTAAAATGAGAGAAAGAAGCACAGGAGGCAGGAGTGGACGATTCAGACAGATGAAGGCCACAGGCGCTTAGAGGGAAATTTCTAAGAAAAGGCAATTGGCTGATGACCTAATTAATATACACAAGCACGTTTTCAGAGGGTTTACCAATTCTGTTGAAGAAAATGAAGTGATGATAAAAAGCTAAGCAAGAAAGCAAAATGACAAGGCAATTATTACCTCCAGGACAAGCAACTGTGTAAAAAGATAATCTCGTGGGGTGAGTACAGGGGATACACCCAGGGCCTTGCACATGCTAGGCTAACGCCCTACCCCCAGACAGATAATCTTCATGTGCCTTGCATGTGGCAGAGAACTTCACATCAGTAACAACAGTAATGGAGCCACGGACACCCACTCCCCATCAACACTCCGCTCTGACACCTGGCGGGAGAGTGGTGAACCCCGGGGGCTCCATTCTGCTGTTAAGGAGCCAGCAGTCTAAACTGGCAATTCAAGAAACAGCAACACATGTATGCTACTCAGAAATAAGAAAGAGGACTACTAAAGACAACAGCTGAAAGCACCATGAGTGGTCACCTTGGGGGAATATGACTCTGGTGTGACAGCCAGCTACTGGTTTTTATTAAAAGACCAGTAGAACTATATGACTTTTTAGCTACATGTGTTATTTTGTCTTAGAAAAATTAATCCATGGGCTGGGGTTGTGGCTCAGTGGTAGAGTGCTTGCCTCATACGTGTGAGGCACTGGGTTCAATTCTCAGCACTGCATATAAGTAAATGAATAAAATAAAGATCTATTAACAACTAAAATAATTTTTTTAAAATTAATCCACAAACTATAAGTTGGCATCTTACAGTGTGTCATTCTGCCAAAATATGGAGGAAGAGGAGCAGGTCCAGGAGCTCCACTGCATCCTGCAAGCCAGCTGCCCAGAGGACTGTGGGGCAGGTCAGAACCCCACCACCATTTATAAACACCAACAGTCAAACCTGTAATCTGAGAACAACAGGCCTGGAGCAGTTCTTGGAAGCAGGCCTAGTTCAGGACAAGCTGGGGCAGGCCCAGGTCTATCCACTGGAGAAGGGTGCCCGCCTGTGCCCACACCCTGGCCAGGAGCAGCTAAAGATAAGGAGGGCCCAAGGCCTGGTACACTGCTCTTACATCCCTGGTCCCAGAGGAGACCCCAAAATAGTTCATCTGCTATCAGGTCACGGGCCCAACCCCAGGAGTTTGGCCTGCTCATCCTCTGGGCCGAACACTGTTTCTGGGTGTCCCAGGAAGGAGTAAGAAGCTCTACCCCCATGAGATAAGAGCTGTTAAACAAAGGTGGTACCCTTTAAGATAGGACTGCTTTGCGCTAGCACATGGGTGAGAAGTCTGGGTTAAGAGCAGAAAAAGACCCATCTGCAGAACAGCTCTCATCAGGAGATTCCCAAGGGTCACACTCTGGGACAGCCACTACCCATAATAACCTGTAGCTTTCCTAAGGCACCTATGTTAAGGGGAAGACGCAGACCATAAATCCACTCTATGAACATGAATAGGCAAGACAGACAAAATGCAGCTTCTCAGAACAGCAGTACCCCCTCTCTGTTCCTGTGCTGTCTCTTGGGGGGGTCTATTAACAACTGTGCTACACTGTTCTATTGAGACCAATCTGGCTGCTTGAGAAAAAGGAAAGGACAGAGGTTAAGCTGAACGGCAGCACAGGCTTGGGCTGTAACTGAAGAACTTGCCCTTACCCCCCTCTGCATCTCAAAAACCACATAGCCAGCTTTTCTGGGGCTTGTCACCCATGAGGGACAGACCAAGATCAGCTAAACAGGCTAGCCATGACTGAGAATCCCTAGTAGCCACATGGTCCGTGACTGGGGATTATGCCCAACTGGTGAATAATCAGTACAGAGAATGTTTCCTAACAATCTCAGGCACAGGAGACTCCCACCAAGAGCACTCTGGCTGCACACCATGGCACGTACCTTTTCTTCTACGGAGACATCAGCCATCTTGGGAAGTGGCTCTGGAGCACGCTTTTTTATCAATAATAGGACATCTAGAGAGAAAGAACGTTTCGCAGTGTAAGTGGCAGAAAGGACAGAACAGCCTGGTTCCCCCTGGGCCCATCCTAAACCCAGCAAGCTCATCCTCCCTCGGTGTCCATGATGTGTGTACAACCCTGGCTGACATGCAGTTCCTGGGCCTGAAGAGCAGCAGACGGAGGGTGGTCACAGGTGACCATTGGCCCAGGAAACAGGCACAGTGCAGCACTGACAACCACACAAAGAACTCATAGGAATCTCTCAAATGTTCTCATTTTCATGGACTCAGTTTCAAAAACTCTGTGAGACTGCAAAGTTTACTCTTACAGCTCAGAGCTGATAACTCAGTATTTCCAGAATTAAAGTCACTATTTGAAGTGACACACAGAAAGCTGGGGTTTCCTCCCCACATGCCCCAGGCACAGCCAAGTGATGCAGAGAATCTGTGCATGAGCACAGGCCCGGGTGCCTGAAGCCCCATGAAGGTGGCTTCCAGCCCATCAATAAAACCTGCAGACACTCCAGAGTCAATTTTGCTTTGAAACAGAATTAAAAATAAAGTCCATGTTAGGTTCTCAGGTATCTGTTGCTTGCTCAACTCTGGGTTCTGCTTTTTTTTTGTTTCTTTCTTTCTTTCTTTCTTTTTTTTTTTTTTTGGTACTCTGGATTGAACCCAAGGGTGCTTAACCTCAAAGGTCAACCTCAGGGGTGCATAATCTCTGAGCCACATCCCCAGCCCTTTTTTATATTTTCTTTAGAGAYAGGGTCTTGCTGAGTTACTTAAGGCCTTGCTGAGGCTGGCTTTGAACTCGAGAACCTCCTACCTCAGCCTCCTGAACCACTGGGATTACAGGCGTGCACCACTGTGCCCAGCAGTTTCTGCTATTTTTCACAAATACACCATCATAACACATGTTTGTTTGTTTGTTTTTTCTCAGTAAAAAGAAAATAAAACCAGAGCAGGCCCAGTTTCCCCACTCATATCCAGCTCAGAACTGGACATCATGCTGGCAAGGGCTTATGGCTCCCAGGTCCCATGCCCCGCAGCCTCTGGGCACCACCTCACTGGAGGCCACTTACCTTTGTCTTGGACATTCTCCTCTAAGATTGTCCTGGTGTCATTCAGCACCCTCTCTGAAGCAGCGTGGATTAACTTATGATGGGTCACACTTTTGGGATCCTCTAAGCTCCCATGAGCACACTGCAGGGAAGAAGCAAATGACACATATCTAAACAGAAAATATGTCACAATGCCAATAACACAGGACCTGATGTCCGAGGTCACACAGAAATCAACTGGCTTCTTACTAGCTAAGCCATTAAAGCTGAGAAGAAATCAAAGAATCCCATCACCAACAGAAGCCAGATGCAATGCCAGGACCCATGATCCCAGCCTCTGACCTCAGCACCCACCTACCACAGACTCCTGAGCTTGGACACGCAGCACCCTCCTGATAAGTGGTGCAACCCAGACCGACTCCTTAGTCTGGAAAGATCTGGAAAGTAATTWTTTATTTATTTATTTTTTATAGTGCTGAGGATTGAACCCAGTGCCTCATACGTGCTAAGCAAGCACTCTACCACTGAGCCACAACCCCAGCCTTAGAAAGTAAATTTTGAGTGAAAATAGTCTGTTGTTTCCTGATAACCTAGAGACCCAGGTACACTCTGTGCACTTGTTTTTCTTTCTTCCATGGTACCGTCCTCTGTAAAAGGGAGTGGAGGACCGCAAAGAAAAAGAACTGTTCCCAGAGGCAAGGACCAGGACCTGCCCAGAGAGCCCACAAAGTCCTCAGGACAGCGCTGAGCACAATGGCCTCAGACTGGCCTCTAGCCCACTAGTGACAGCCACACTGTGCACGCAGCTTCCGGCCCTCCTGGGGCAGCTCACGGGGGATCAACAAGCACACAGTCATGTCTACGACACCTAGAAACCCAGTTACATGCATGGGGCAGCAGAAGAAAGGGCCTGATATCTTCACCCACCCAGGGAAGGCAGCCACATGCACAAGAGCATGGTCCTCATGCACACCACACAGCTACCCCACCCACACTCCAGGGTGCCTCCAGATACCACCTCCATGGTCAGACTCCACAGGCCAGGAGGGAGCCCAAGCAGATTCTCCTAATCCTGAAATATCATCTAAATATCTCACAGCAAATGGCTGGCAGGGGCCAGGCAGACATTTTCTTTATTCAACGAGGCTTCTCTCTGTGCACAGCCGTGGGCCACCCTCCAGACCCACACACCTACTGGATCACAGAAGTCCCGCCCACCTGGCCACCATGCACAGTAGGTCCTGCAATGCGGACAGCACCACGCAGGACGACCATGTGAGCTCTTGGTGCCTRTTGGTGGGCCACACATGCTCACCAGGGTCTGTACCCAACATCCCAACCCCTTCCCTGTTCATCAGCATCACGCATCACACAGTGCCCACCTCTCAGTTGTGCCCCACCCATGAGCCAGAGCTTTGGGCTGGGGAATTGGGGTGGCACTTATACTTTGAAAAAACACACAAATGCTTCCAGAGCCCAGTTTGGCGGCCCCTGAAATTCAGAATGGAGCCAGGGGCCCCAACTATATTCCTACTGCTATGGATCCCCTGGGCTTAGATGACAGAATTAGTATCTAAAGAACAGGAAAGGAAGAAGCCAGGTGAGAGAGCTCAATGGCTGCCTCTGAACACCCAGCATCGAGCTGCAGGCGTGGCCTGCCCTCCAAGGGGGCTGTGTGCCATTCCAAGACATGCCCACCCCAGAACGCCCAGGGCACCAGGGTCCTCCAGGCCTTCCAGGATGCGTCAGGAAGCCAAGGGCAGACTCCACTGGAGGCCTGCTTGCCACCTCCCTAGCTATCAGACATTCAAAATACCCCACACAGACAACTGTTAACCAGAAAAGAAGAAACAGAAGCACATTCTTCACTTAACATCAGCATTGTAAGAGTAGCCAAAATGTCTGTTAGTCTCCAAGACTGAAAACAGCTTTAAAAAAAGCATCATGAAGGCTTAAGAGGTCGATGCAGATTCAGACTGGCCTGAGAGTGGAGGAGGAGAAGCCCAGCCATAGCAGTCTGCATTCTCTCCTCTGATGACGTAGGTCAGAAGCCGCAACTCCCTTGAACTTGGCAAGGGTTCTGTTCCCAGAATATTGCATGTGCCTCTGGGTAGTACTAAAATTCACAACTAATTCTAGTTGATTGGTCAAGTTCAGTTTATGAAACAGAGTTTAAAAAAAAAATCCTCACYCTGGTTCCACAAAAACTGTACTCTGCAGTTGTCAATAGCACACTGGGGTCAAAACATAAGCATGGATCACCCCTGCCTCCCATGACAATCTCCTTCCATCTCTGCTGCACATGCCAGGATGCAGCAGCAAAGCCCCAATGGAGGCCACCACTGGGGTAGGGAGGTCTGTATCCCCTCTGCATCCCACGGCCTCCCCAGAGGAGCCACCTCTCAGCTTCTCTCATACCTGATGCTGCCATGTGAAAATGACAGGACCTAGGAAGTTTTAGCAGCTATACTAACAAGAATGGTGCTCTTTTCTGACACCTTATCACAGAAAAACTCCACCATGCCACATATATAACATTTTTTAAACACTTTTAACCCCCTATTAGACAAGAGCTTACTGTCCCCTTTCTCCCAGTAATGCACACAATGGAAAACAGAGATTGCCAGGGTGAACTCACTTTGGATAAAACAAAAAAGGGAAAGGTAACAATAGCTATCCATCTCCTTAACAGCTGACAAACTGGGCACAATGGCACATGCCTGTAATTCCAACAACGCAGGAGACTGATGCAGGAGGACTGCAAGTTTCAGAACAGCCTCAGCAACTTAGCAAGACTGTTACAAAATAAAAAGGGTTAGGGGATGTAGCCCCTGGGTCCATTCCCCAGTACCTCCCCTCCAAAAAAAAGTTATGACAATCCCTCTCTAACACAGTAGAAATCTGGCAAAAGTACTAGGCGAGAGCTATGCCCACATCATCCCTCTTAAGGCAAAGGGGGAAAGAGGAAAGAAAATCTCCACCAGCATAAGCGTGTACAGGCAAAGTAGGCGCAGGAAGGCAAAGCCAAGACATCCAGATCTCATTGCCTCCAGCAATACAACAGCTGCAGCTGTTTTCTGGGTGATGTTCAAGTGCAAAACTCGGGAATTCTCTTTTCTGACTACCGCATTGACTCTGCCTGCAGGATGGTGGGATGAAGGGAGGACACTTTCTGAGAACACAGCCCACCAGTCCTGTGGCCAATGTGGATCCTCATGGTGTGGAATTCCCTGATGCTTAGATCCTCCACTCCCAGGGAGACTGCAGAGTGAAATGAAATCTCAACTGAAAGGAGGTTAAGAATGGAAAAAAAAAAAATCCCAAATGATATAATCGCAATACCAACTAGAACAAGAAATATCATGAATAATCAGCATATTGAAAATACTTGCCTAATTAACCCCAAGTGTTCCTGTATCTAGGGATCATTCGCCATTTCCCTTCATAAAATACTACTATGATGGTTATGCAAATCCATACCACTATTGAGTTAGACTAAATGCCACACCTATGTCTAAGCAGTTCAGAGTAAGTTTACATTTGTTTCATGAATCCTGACCTTTGTTTTGTGGCACTGGCCCTGGGCTTGTGGATAAAAACTTAGTCCTTGAGGAGCCCAACCTCGGTGGGAGGACATAGCACCAAGGGGGGGGTGAGGTAGTAAAGATGCAAGCCTAGACAAGCAACAAACCTAACACCCTAGAGGCCTTTGGGATCCCCAGCCTTTGATTTCGAAATCCCTCCAGGCAAACCTGCACAACCACTGTGCTCCAGAGGGGGCTGAAGGCTGGGTTTCTCCATTCCTACCTCTGCAGTTACAGATCAGCTCCACAAAATCATACTCAATGGAGGGGTGAAAAAGTACTATTTGCAAGCAGTTAACACAATAATAACTGAAAGTTTACCTTAAGAGACAATGCCAAACCATATTTTAATGCAAGCAACCTGAGGACTATGTAACTTTTCACMTAGAGTCCCCACTAAAAAGCTGTGGCTAAATTCTGCCAGGCAAAACTACATCACAAAGTACAAGCCACCAGGGCCTGAGAGGTAGATAGATGTCTCACCTGAACTTAATGAGAGGCAAAGGCCTCAAGAACTAGTTCCAGAAATTAGCAACCCAAAGGGTCTAACAATTTAAGAAGTATTCCCTGTGAATAAACTTCAGCAAGTGGTACTCCCAGTGAGGAAACCCTTTGTCCTGGACCTTTCCACTAAATCAATTTTACCCGGCAGAAAACCAAGAGCCCGGAGACTTGTCCCACTGTGGCACTATTTTAAGTGACTCCAGCTAGGAGCCAACCCCAGGCCGGCTGGGACAGGAAAGGGTCCTCTTAATTAACGAACGCACACTAACTCCCAGCTCTTGCGGGAGCCATTGAAGAACAAAAGCCTTACCCAACAGCAAGGAAGCAAGCACGGACGCCAGAAAACCACGAGCTCTCCTCGGGTCAGGCTGTCCTCGCCGGCCTCCGTTTTCCCATCTGCCCTACCTCCCCAAGTAGCTGTGGAAATTAAATGCAGGAGGCACGTAAAGTGCTAGGCCTGGAGGCTGGGCTCAGAAATAGCGCCCAGAGGTTTCCGAGTCGGGAAGGAGGGTACCGAGCTAAGGAGCTGGAGGCGCTGCCTCCGCTGCGGGCGGATACGGCAGGAGCGCGGGCGCCGAGGTCGGGGTCCGGGCAGGGGCGGGGGTCCGCGGGGCCGGGGTCCGCGCCTTACGTGCTTGAGGCAGCGCTCCTTGAGCTTCTCCACCGAGGTGTCCTCGGTCGCCTCCTCCAGCCACTCGGCGCCGTCCGCGGCACAGATGTGCAGCCGCAGCACCTTGCCCGCGAAGATCTTCTCCTCCTGCACGAACATCGCGCCGCCGCCCGGGCCTGCACCCACCGCCCGAGCCCGTGAAGGTCACCGGGGCGCACGGGCGGGGCGGGGGCGGGGCGAGCCGCCGGGCTCTCCTCCGCTGGGCCGCGCCGCCGCCCCGCCCCGGCTCCCGTCGGCCCGGCCGCCCGTCACTCGCCGCCGCCCCAGCGGTCGCCTGGTTGCCGCCGCCGCAGCCGCCGGGGGCGCGCCGTCGCCGCCGCGCCGGAAGTGCGTTCGGGCGCCCAGGGGCCTGCCGGGAGATGTGGTTCTCCGCGGGCGCCCCCTCCCGCAGGCGCGCCGGAAATGCGTGTCTGGCGCGCCACGTGCATGCCGGGAGTTGTGGTCCTCGGGGGCGGAGCCTCGCTGGGGCCCCAGGAGGTGAGCCGACACGGGGTCTCCAGCAGTTAGAAGGGACACGAAGCTCCTCGTGTGTCATGTGTGTAGGTTGCGCGTCGAAGTGATATGTGGATCCATGGGCTAAGTAAAATATATTGTTGAAATCACCTGTTTCTCCTTGTCTTGGAGGTATTGTGTCCAGCTGGGGTCCAGGTCCTTGGTGTCCGGAGCAGGGAACTGAGCAAGACACACAAGTAACAGGCAAGGTGCAGATTTCCTGAAGCGGCCGCGCGAGTGGCCCTCTGTCAGGCAGAGCAGAGAGGGCCGAGGGAGGCGCCGGCCGTCTGCACAGTGTCCTGCATGCCCAGCCGCCAGCCGGGTCTTTTCTAGCCTGATCTGACTGACGACCTTACTCCATGTGTCCCCATTGGCCCCTTATGATACTTGACTGACTTCTGTCCCCCTTTGGTTACTTTAGAAAACCTAATTAAAATACTGCCCACTTTACCCCCATTGGTCATTTTTTTTTTTTAAGCATCAGAAATTTATTGGTTGCTCAAAACTTTACATTGATCTTGACATACCATACATTTGTTTCAAATGGGGTATGAATTCTTATTATTCCCCYGTGTACAGATTGCAGAATCACGTTGATTATACAGCCACGTTTATACATACTGCCAAACAAGTGTCTGTTGTATTCTGCTGCCCTTCCTATCCCCTTCCTATCCCCCCTCCCCTCCCCTCTCCTCCCCTCCCTCTACCCCATCTACCATAACTCATTTCTCTCACTCTCTCTAATTTTTTTATTTATTTTTTTCCTCCCCTTGGAATATTACTCAGCAATAAAAAACAACAAAATCATGGCATTTGCAGGGAAATGGATGGCATTAGAGCAGATTATGATAAGTGAAGTCAGCCAATCCCTTAAAAACAAATGCCAAATGTCTTCTTTGATATAAGGGGGACAACTCAAAACAGAACAAGGAGGAAGAGCATGAGAAGAAAATTATCATCAAACAGGGATGATAGGTGGGAGGGAATGGGAGAGAGAGGGGGAATTGCACAGAAGAGGGAAGGAGACCCATTGGTTATTTTAAAATACTGAACCTATGCAGGAGTTTTCTTGGTGATGGGACTTATGCTAAACAGGGACATGACTGCCCCCTGCCTCCCCCCACAGCATCTTCTATACCCTGCCCCACCGTCTGGGCGCCCCTGAGCTCCTACCTTACACTATGGCGACTAGGAAGTTGAACCGTATATGCTGCTGTGGTGTTTCTTTGGGACAGCAAGGCCCTAGAGCAGAGTTCTCAGCGTGGGGCCCCCAGACCAGCAGCCTGGGGACTCTTCTGTGGGGTGTGACAAAGATTCCGTGCTTGGCCAAACTTTATCCAGCTCCTGAACCTTCTCTTAGGCCCATCCAGATTAAAGGACCCTGCGGAGTCAATTTAGACCCCTCCCCCAGGCACCCTCTGATTGTTAGAGGATAGACAGGTGCAAATGGTGGGAACAAGAGGTTGAGAATAATTCTATAAACTGCACCAATGTGCTGATCCCCACATGCTTTCTTTTCCCAGGAGCAATTGACCTGCAGCCCTGCCTGGCCTAAGTGGACAGGACATGTCACATTTCTCGGCAAACTATCTGTTATCTGTAGGAAAAATGCAGGCCTGGAATAACGTTGCTATGAGGACCCAAATTACACTGAAGTGAGACACTTTTGTGACCTTTTTCACAAACCAAATTCTGAAACTCAAGTAGATAAGGATAATTCTTCCTAACCATAAAATCTGTAAGAATTTATGGTTAAGAATCCAATTAGAGGGACTGGGATTGTAGCTCAGTGGTAGAGAACTTGCCTAGCAGGTGTGAGGCCCTGGGTTTGATCCTCAACACCACTAAAAATAAATAAATAAAATAAAGATATTGTAAAAAATAATAATAATAATCCAATTAGAGGGGCTGGAGTTATAGCTCAGAAGTAGAACGCTTGCCTCACCCTTGTGATGTACCAGGTTTGATCCTCAGCACCACATAAAAAATAAATAAATAAATAAAGATATTGTGTCCATCTTTAAAAAAAAAAAAAAGAATCCAATTAGAACTGGTCAACATGGGCCAAGGTGACCTAGATTTGTCATGACCATGTGGACTTGAAAATCTGATGTCACCCTGCTGTCAGTCAAAAGTCAAGAAGTGGGCCTAGGTTGGACTCTCTGGAAACTTCTCTGGGATCTGCAATAAAGCTGGAGTACAGGAAGCACACAGTCCCTCTCCTCTCTGAGAGGACCACTCTCTCTCTTGAGAGTGTCCCTTTTCCCTTTCCCTGTCCCTTCAATAAACACACCCCATTGCTCTGAGTGATAAGTCTGAAATCTTTCTGACTTGATGGCAAGAATTGGGGTTGAAGAGAGGGTCTTCATGCTGTCTCAGTTTCCCAAAAGGCCTCAACTCTGTAGCATGGTCACCCTGGCCTATTAGGACAGTTTAGCCAGAACCCTAGAACCTCTCTTACCACAGATGTTTTCTCTTTTTCTTTCTCCCTTGGGTACGGGATTTCCAACCCAGGCCTCATACATGTTAGGCAAGTGCTGAGCTACATCCCCAGCTGAGCTACACCCCCAGCCCTTTTTAAATTTTGAAACAGAGTCTCCAAGTTGCCAGTCTGGCTTTGAACTTGTGATCCTCCTGCCTCAGCCTCCCAAGTCTGGAATTACAGGTGGGGGCCACTGCACCCAGGCAGAAGTGTCCTCTTAATGTTCCATCAGCTGCCCCTGGTTTGCTCCTTGGCTATAAATTCCATGCTGTGCTGTGCCGTGTTTGGAGGTGAGCCCGATCTCTCTCCTCCTCTACTAGACCCTGTTGTCCTGGTCCTTGTACCTGTCGGTTCTCCTGAATAAAGTCTTTCTCATGCTTAATGGGTGTCTCTGAGTAATGTTTGTTTAACGGGTGGCCACTATGAGAGGCGTAGTCTGGCTAGACCTACTACACCTTGACTGACACGCACACACTCATGGGATTCACTCAGAAGCCTTGGTGGACACAGGAGGATGAGCTGTGGTTCCAAGGTGGGTGCTCTTTGTGGGGAGAGGCCCAGGGTCTCCCCGCTCAGGCCATTCCTCTCTGAACCACTTTGCACACATGTCTTCATCTTTCCCTGGGAACCAGTTCCAGTCATGTCCAAATCCCTGTGGTGTAGTCTAGCTTACCTCCTGCCCTCCAGGACCTGGAGCCTGTTAGTCCCTGAAATTCAGCCAGGATGAAGACCAGAACCGGGTTCTCTCCTGGGAAGGAACGGTGCTGACCATAGGAGACCCTGGGGTCAGGGGAGGCGAGGGCAGGAGGAGGAAGCTGCAGATGGAGGGAGGAGACAGAGGCTGGAACAGAGGGATGAGCAAAGGCAGGCATGGAGGAGTTAGGGGGTGGGAAGAAAGTGACAAATCGCTCCGCACTTCTGGCATTTAAAGATGGTGAGCAGGGCCAGGGAGGCTGGGGGAGCGTGGGGTCAGCTTGGGGGAGCTTCTCCAGGGCACATGATGTCATCGTGAGAGCCACTGAGGGGATGACCCGGCCGYAGTAGGGAGCCTGGGAAGGTTCTACTCGCCCGGCCGGCGACACGCAAAGGGGGAGGAGAGAACAGAACCCACAGGAGAACCCCAAATGTCACCTGCCACCTGGGTGTCTTCAGGGGCCTCGCAGGGCACAATCCTGGCTGGCCACAGACGTCACCCTCAACCCAGTGATGCTGTGTGACAAAACCATCTTCAAGCTCAGGGCTCAGAACAAGTCCATGACCCTCACGAGCCCGGGGCTGACCAGCGGTTCTGCCAACCTGGGCAGCTGCTCTGATTCCAGCAGGGCTCCTTGGTCACCTGCCTTCAGGCTGGCGGACGGGCGGCCCTGGGGCTCTCAGATGGATCGCYGCGTGGTCTCCCATCCCCAGCTTCCTGAGGCCTGTTCCCTGGAGTGTCTGCTTGTGCTCCTCCAATTGGCATCCTTTTGACCATGTCACACAGCTGGGTGTGAAGTCACCGTGAAGGGGCTGAGGGCAGGGACATGGGGAAGCCACTGATGGGCCAGGAGAGCACCTCTTTGTCCAGCTCAGAGGTTGGTGAGGAAGTTGGGCCTCTCTGGGAAGTGGCTGAGGAGAGCCCCAGGGCCCTGCCGCAGGCTCATGGGCAAGAGGTGCTGTAACATAGCACTTGTCTGCCCACACGACAGAACGTGGGGATAGAAGCTCACAAGCTGCACCCCTTCCAGCAGCTGCAACTCCCCAAGGATGCCTGGGTCACTTGGTAGCCGTGAGCTGGACAATCACGGGTTCTTTATTCCGATCTTAATTTCTGATATCTGTCCTACTCAAATCAGATGTCCCACTTGACACGATTATATGTCTAGTGTACGGAAAGGCTAAGAAAAGGAGAAGGTGGCCTGTTCCCCACAAAGACTCTGGGGTTGGTTTCAAGGGAGACTGGACACATTGCTGGGCTGATCACACAGGGGGAAGGGGGCTCCTCTCCAGTGCTGCTGACCACATCTCTACAGCCCGTTTCCTGGGCACCACCACCTCCACGGACCCAGGAGGCCTCAACCAAGCTGGAAACCCTTGGAGAGAGCCAGCTGCGGTGCCAATATTCAGCCACTAGAGGGGGCAGGCGAGCCATTGTCCTACGGATAGGGGTGCGTGCAGTGTGCATGTGTAAGAAGGTGCAGGTGTGCATGTTTGTGTGTCTGTGTAGGTGTGGGGTGCATGTGAGTGCTGCATGTTGTG